AGGGTAGAGTATGATGGGGAAAAGCTAGAAATGGCATGTGGTGGCCTGTTAGCACAGGTCATGTGACAATTCAACAACAGCAACAACAGGCAACAGAATACAAGCCCTCCCTGAAATGTGGCCTGAAATCTTCAGAACGGGACTGGAGCCCGAGAGGGAGGTGGCCAGTGGGCGGGAGGCTAGCCAGATTGTCATCCACCACACACTTCCTGATCACCAACCCTGAGCCTAGGCCAGTTGACACTGCTGGGCCCTGGTGAGACAAAGCCAAGAATTAATACTCTTGTTCCTCAAAGCTGGATGCATAACCCTCCCAGACTTCAGACAATACTACAAAGCTACAGTAATCAGAACAGCATGGTACCTACCTAGGGAGACAAAAGACCTGTATGCAGAAAACTATAAGACACTGATGAAAGAAATTAAAGATGATACAAACAGATGGAGAGATATACCATGTTCTTGGATTGGAAGAATCAATACTGTGAAAATGACTATACTACCCAAAGCAATCTACAGATTCAATGCAATCCCTATCAAATCACCAGTGGCATTTTTTACAGAACCAGAACAAAAAATCCTAAAATTTGTATGGAGACACAAAAGACCCCGAATAGCCAAAGCAGTCTTGAGGGAAAAAAACGGAGCTGGAGGAATCAGACTCTACTACAAATCTACAATAATCAAGAGACAATATGGTACTGGCACAGAAACAGAAATATAGATCAATGGAACAGGATAGAAAGCCCAGAGATAAACCCACACACCTATGGTCAACTAATCTATGACAAAGGAGGCAAGGATATACAATGGAGAAAAAGTCTCTTCAATAAGTGGTGCTGGGAAAACGGGACAGCTACATGTAAAATAATGAAATTAGAACACTCCCTAACACCATACACCAAAATAAACTAAAAATGGATTAGAGACCTAAATGTAAGACCAGACACTATAAAACTCTTAGAGGAAGACATAGGAAGAACATTCTCTGACATAAATCACAGCAAGATCTTTTTTGATCCACCTCCTAGAGTAATGGAAATAAAAACAAAGATAAACAGATGGGACCTAATGAAACTTAAAAGATTTTGCAAAGCAAAGGAAACTACAAACAAGATGAAAAGACAACTCTCAAAATGGGAGAAAATATTTGCAAATGAATCAACAGACAAAGGATTAATCTCCAAAATACATAAACAGCTCATGCAGCTCAATATTAAAAAAACAACCCAATCCAAAAATGGGAAGACCTAAATAGACATTTCTCCAAAGAAGACATACAGATGGCCAAGAAGCACATGAAAAGCTGCTCAACATCACTAATTATTAGAGAAATGCAAATCAAGACTACAACAAGGTATCCCCTCACACCAGTCAGAATGGCTATCATCAAAAAATCTAGAAACAATAAATGCTGGAGAGGGTGTGGAGAAAAGGGAACCCTCTTGCACTGCTGGTGGGAATATAAATTGATACAGCCACTATGGAGAACAGTATGGAGGTTCCTTAAAAACTAAAAATAGAACTACCATATGACCCAGCAGTCCCACTACTGGGCATATACCCAGAGAAAACCATAATTCAAAAAGACACATGCACCCCAATGTTCACTGCAGCACGATTTATAATAGCCAGGTCATGGAAGCAACCTAAGTGCCCATCGACAGACAAATGGGTAAAGATGATGTGGCACATATATACAATAGAATATTACTCAGCCATAAAAAGGAGAGAAATTGGGTCATTTGTAGAGATGTGTATGGATCTAGAGACTGTCATACAGAGTGAAGTAAGTCAGAAAGAGAAAAACAAATATCGTATTAACACATGTATGTGGAACCTAGAAAAATGGTACAGATGAACCGGTTTGCAGGGCAGAAATAGAGACACAGATGTAGAGAACGTACGGACCCAAGGGGGGGAAGTGGTGGTGGTGGTGCGTGGAGGGTTGTGGGATGAATTGGGAGATTGGGATTGACATGTGTACACTGATGTGTATAAAATGGATAACTAATAAGAACCTGCTATATCAAAAAATACATAAAATTCAAAAAAAAAACAAAAAACCCAGCATGGCATTTGCACAAAAACAGACATATGGATCAATGGAACAGAACAGAGAGCCCAGAAATAAACACCCACACCTATGGTCAATTAATCTTAGACAAAGGAGGCAAGAATATACAATAGTGAAAAGACAGTCCTTTCAGCAAGTGGTGCTGAGAAAGCTGGAGAGCCACATGGAAGTCAATGAAGTTAGAACACGCCCTCACACTATACACAAAAATAAACTGAAAATGGCTTAAAGACTTAAACATAAGACAGGACACCATAAAACTCCTAGAAGAGAACATAGGCAAAACCTTCTCTGACATAAATTGTAGCAATGTTTTCTTAGGTCAGTCTCCCAAAGCAAAAGAAATAAAAGCAAAAATAAACAAATGGGACCTAATCAAACTTAAAAGCTTTTGCACAGCAAAGGAAACCATAAACAAAACAAAAAGACAACTATGGAATGGGAGAAAATATTCGCAAACACTGCGACTGACAAGGGCTAATTTTCAAAATATACAAACAGCTTACCCAACTCAATAACAAAAAAACAATCAAAAAAATGGGCAGAAGACCCAAACAGACATCTTTCCAAAGACATGCAGATGGCCAACAGGCACATGAAAAGATGTTCAACATTGCTAATTATTAGAGAAATGCAAATCAAAACTACAATGAGATACCACCGCACACTGGTCAAAATGACCATCACCAAAAAGTCTGCAAATAATAAATGCTGGAGAGGGTGTGGAGAAAAGGGAACCCTCCTTCACTGTTTGTGGGGATGTAAATTGGTGAGGCCACTATGGAGAACAGTACAGAGGTTCCTTAAAAAACTAAAAATAGAATTACCATATGACCCAGCAATCCCACTCCTGGGCATATATCCAGAAAAAACTCTAATTCGAAAGGATACATGCACCCCAGTATTCATAGCAGCACTATTCACAATAGCCAAGACACGGAAGCAACCTAAATGTCCATCAATAGATGAATAGATATGATATATATATATGTATATATATATATGTATATATATATATATATATATATATATAATGGAATACTACTCAGCCATAAAAATAATGAAACAATGCCATTTGCAGCAACATGCAGCAACAGATTATCATATTAAGTGAAGTCAGCCAGCCAAAGACAAATATCATATAATACCACTTGTATGTGGAATCTAAAAAAATGATACAGGGGTTTCCCTGCTGGCACAGTGGTTAAGAATCCGCCTGCCAACACGGGGGACACGGGTTCAAGCCCTGGTCTGGGAAGATCACACATGCCGCGGAGCAACTAAGCCCGTGCGCCACAACTACTGAGCCTGCACTCTAGAGCCTGCGAGCCACAACTACTGAGCCCAAGTGCCACAACTATTGAAGCCTGCGTGCCTGGAGCCCATGCTCCGAAACAAAGAGAAGCCACTGCAATGAGAAGCCCGTGTGCTGCAACGAAGAGTAGCCCCTCTTCCCTGGTGATGCAGTGGTTGAGAGTCCACCTGCCGATGCTGGGGACACGGGTTCGTGCCCCGGTCCGGGGAGATCCCACATGCTGTGGAGCGGCTGGGCCCATGAGCCATGGCCACTGAGCCTGCGCGTCCAGAGCCTGTGCTCCGCAACAGGAGAGGCCACAACAGCGAGAGGCCCGCGTACCGCAAAAAAACACACCAAAAAACAAAAGAGTAGCCCCTGCTTGCTGCAACCAGAGCAAAGCCTGCGTGCAGCAACGAAGACCCAATGCAGCCAAAATAATTTTTAAAATAAAATAAATAAAAACATGGGGCTTCCCTGGTGGCGCAGTGGTCGACAGTCCGCCTGCCGATGCTGGGGACATGGGTTCGTACCCCGGTCCGGGAAGATCCCACATGCCGCGGAGCGGCTGGGCCTGTGAGCCGTGGCCGCTGAGCCTGCACGTCCGGAGCCTGTGCTCCGCAACGGGAGAGGCCACAACAGTGAGAGGCCCACGTACCGCAAAAACAAATAAAATTAAATTTAAAAAATGATACAAATGAACTTATTTACAAAACAGAAACAGACTCACACAGAAAACAAACTTATGTTTACCAAAGGGGAAAGGGAGCGGAGGGAGGCATAAATTAGGAGTTTGGGATCAGCAGCTACACACTGCTATATATAAAATAGGTAAACAACAAGATCCTACTGTACAGCACATGGAACTATATTCATTATCTTGTAATAACCTATAATGGAAAAGAACACGAAAAAGAACATGTACATATAACTGAATCACTTTGCTGTACACTTGAAAGTAACACAACATGGTAAGTCAACTATAATTTAAAAAATAAAATTCCTGTTCTCAGAGGTCTCCAGGTGGGGGGGCCAGAGAAAGAGAGAGCAGGGTATACAGTGTGTCCAGGAGAGCAAAGGAGGGAGGGGCTGAGGGAGCACAGCAGGCATGGAGGTGGGGAGCTGTGATGGTTAGAAGCTTCCCAAGCCTAGTAACCCCTCCAGAGTAGCAGCTAGGCAGATGGACTTGGGAGCCCCGATTCCTAAGCTGTCCCCACGTCCCTGACCCCAGGATGGCCCTCTGGGCCTGGCTGCCTCCCTCACCTGTGCATGTGTCCATCAGGGTAGCCCTCTCTGTGGCGTTCTGTGGACCCAGGCTGGGGCTCTGCTTGCTGCTTCCTGCAGAAACACCAGTAGTAGGACACCTGCCTGGGAGAAAGAGAAAGAAAGGGGAGAAAATGACAGGGAGAGTGGGGGTGAGGTCAGAGTACCTTCAGAGAAGGGAGGGTCAGAGCCTGCCCAGAGGGCCCTGAAGGAGCCACCTCACTATAAATCAAGGTCTGAATAAGCAGACATTCCAGAAACTAGTGTTCCACGGGACACCCTCTGGGAACTGTCTAGGCTATGCTGGCTCCCCCACCCCTGCCCCCCAGCAGATTAGGAGCAGAGATAGATGTGGCAGCACCTGTTACCTGCCCGCTGTGGTCTCAGCTCCACCAGGAACCAGCCAGCACCTTTGGTCAGTCCTCGGATGTCTGGAAAAATTTCTATGCATTTATATTTTTTCTTGATAATGACAAAAGATCTGAATATAAATATGTGAAACCAAAAAAGTAACAATCTGAATGGCGCAATTTTGGATTGAGGAATGCTTTTGCTAAGCTTGCCACCAAAGGGAAAGTGTGACAGATTTAACTATACAAGGATATTTACTGTCAAAAACAAAAAAGAAAAAAAAAAAAAAAAGGAGGGATAGTTGCAACACAAAGATTCATATCCTCAATATCTAAAAGCCCACTATATATACATGAAAAAGCACGAAAAAACTAGTTAAAGTTATGAACAGGTAACCAGCAGAAGAAAATAAACAAGTAGCTGGGACCTCCCTGGTGGTCCAGTGGTTAAGAAACCGCCTTCCAGTGCAGGGGACACGGGTTCCATCCCTGATCGGGGAACTAAGATCCCACATGCCACGGAGCAGCTAAGCCCGAGCACCACAACTACGGAGCCATGCACTCTGGAGCCCATTCGCCCGCAACTAGAAAAGCCCAGGTGCCACAACGAGGAAACCGCGTGCCTCAGCGGAAGTTCCCCCAAGCCACAACTGAGACCCGACGCAGCCTAAAATAAGTAAAATATTAAAAAAAACAATAAGGCTTAAAAACTGGCACGTTATGAACATATAGACAATTAAGGGAAACAGGCACCTTCATACACCGCTGGAAGAAGTGCACTGCACGGCGGGTAATTCGATGATTTACAAAGGCCTTAAAATTAAACTGTGATGTCACTTCAGGGAACTGTCTGAGGCTGTCCCAGGGCCTTCACACTGGTCGTCACAATGGGCGGGGAAGGCTGTCCCCGGGGCCGTCACACGGCGGGAGTAGGGCCGCCCCTCGCTTCCGCTCCCCTCCCGGATGTGAGCCCTTTCGCAGGGAGAGCCCAGGACAGACGAGGGCCCCGCGCCCCGTAGGGACGGCCCGTCTTGCGCCCATATTTCTGTTTCCCTCGCGGGCGCGGCCCACCGTCTGCCTACCCCCGCCCAAGCCCCGGTCAGCCGCCACTTACCAGGAGCCCCCGCCGCCCGCCGGAAGCGCCGCCTCCCTCTCCCGGGCGGCTCGGGTACTTCCGGTGACGTTCTAGGGCGCCGGAGGACCTGCACTCAGCTGCCCTGGAGGCCGCGGGGTGCGGGGTGGGCCTGCCTTCGCGAGTTTTGCGCGGATTCCCTAGCTTCGCGTGCAAGACCCTCGGTTGCTGTCCGGCCACCTTCACACCGACCGCTCCCGCCCCTGCAGGGCTTCACTCCCCGCACCTCTGGGACGCCTCCCGGACCCCCGCCCCGGGCCGCGTGGCCTCCACCAGGTCCAGGGCTGAGGTCCGGGGAGTAAGCCGGGTTAGATGACCTTGCTGACTGCGGAATGAGCGAATGCACGGACGCATGAAGTCAGCGCTCGTGGAGAAAGGGGGGAGGGGAGGGCGCCCCGAGCCTGCCCGGCCTGGGCGCCGGAGCCTCCCAGCGGAGCCTCCCAGCGGCTGGTCCTCCGCAGGTGGATCCCCCTCCTAAGCCAGAGGCAGCGCAGAAATCCCCTTCCAACCGCGCGTCGGGCCGCTGCGGGCCGCTGCGCCACATTCTCCGGGTTTCCCTCACTGCTGGTTTTCAGTGACCACACACTTAAGGGCTTGAAGCACCATGCGTTTATGATCTCACGGCTTCCTTGTGTTGCACGAGTCCGGGCACAGCCTGGCCAGTCCTGGGCTGGGGTCTCTCCTAGGCTGCAGGCAAGGTGTTGGCCACGACTGGGGTCTCCCCTGGGGTCTCACGTGTCTGTGGGCAGGATTCAGTTCCCAAGGTCGGGAGTTCTCTGGGCTCCACAAGTGACGTGGGGCTGCAGGCTTCCCACAGGAACGGCGGCCTTGGGGTCCTCTGCAGAGTGGGTACTCTTGTGTTTAATCCCGGCTGAGAAAACTTCACAGCGTCTGCCTTAGACACGTGTCGTGGGGCTTAGGCGACGAATGTCCTGTCCCTAGCCCGTCACTGAGTTGTCTGTCCATGCTCTGGGCACTTTCCTGTAGATGAATCCTGTGGTCTCTCCTCAGCCACCTCATTCTAACCTGCTTCCAGAAACCCCACAGCCCAGAGAGCCCTTGAAATGACTCCCTACTCCCTGACAATGTCCCTCCGCAAGATTCTCCTTCTACGGAAGTCTGCTGCTCTGGCACCCACCCTGGGTTCTTAGCCCAGACAGAAGCACGGGTGGAGACTGGCACCCTCACAGCTGGGCTGGGCCTTCGAATGGTGGCCCAGTGCCCGGATGGCAGCAGGCCTTACCTCCATCAGCTTCCACCCACCTGTCCAGTGTCACCTCTTCCTCCAGCTTCCCCCAACTGTGAAACCAGTCACCGCTCCCTGAACACGCCAGGCTCGTTCTCGCCTCCCTCTGAGCTTTGCCCATTCCCTTCCCTTTCCGCATCACTGGACACAGGTCGCACCTCTCCAGCTGGAATCCTGCAACCACGTGTCCTCTGGGCGTCACGTGGAGGGACGTGGTGTCCACAGGCTCTTCACTGGCTAGTGACCATTTTGATCACACCGTCAGTGTCCTCTGGTTTTTTGACTATGTGGGCACCATTTTCCCCTTGCAACTATTAAATCATTTCGGGAGAAAAGAAAGGCTGAGGAACTGCTCCACACTCTAGATTCCTCAGGAGACACAGTGACCACAGACAGGCTAGGATCCAAGAATGGATGCTGGGTTGGAGGGAAAATGCCACGAGCACAACGCGAAGGCTTGCTTTGTTGAGCATTGTATCAATGTCCAATTACCTGGATTTGGTACCTGCACTGTGGTTTTGTAAGAGAATATCGTTGAATATAGGAAATACACACTAAAGGGTTATGGAACCATGAGACATAATGGATGCAATCCACTCTAAAAAAATTCGGGGAAGAAATCTGTATAGATATAAAAAAATGAAAAGGCACATTTCTGCCACGTGGTGTGAACTGGTGTGATTTCTTTCTACTTTTCCCCATTTCCCAAATTTTCTGTGACACATTCTGTTTATATAATAGGGAAAATGAGCTTTGTTATTCTGTTTATATAATAGGGAAAATGGGCTTTGTCAAAAGTTTTATCAAAAAGTGAAATCTTGACAAACAGCGGTCATTGATGATCTTGTAAAACATGGAGAAAGCCTGTTTTGTTTTTAAGCCCCAAAGCAGATCACAAATTGCATACTGAGTTTGTTTTCCGATGGTGCAGATGAGGCCGACAACCACACCCCCAGACGCAGGTGGCGAAAGGTTTTTTTCTCCAGATGTCCCCATGTGTCCCAGTTTCCTATCACGCACGTGTCGTTTCTACAACCAGGTGCCCGGAGGGCGCTTTCTTGTTCAGAGGCTTCCTCATGGGACACACACTGGTTTTTCTCTTCCGACAGGTTCAGGGGTGCATCTGGGGGCCTGTGGCTTGCTTCTGCTCAGGACCCCTTCCTTCTGGGAATGCTCCTCTCCCTCTCTTCCCCTAGATCACTCTGGAACCCCCACCACCCGCTTCTCCAGGAGCTGGGGCGAGAGAGGGCTCTGTACTCTGCAGCCCGGGCTGAGATGGTGTCAGACATGGGGAAGGCTGGTCAGCGGTTGGAGCCCGAGGCCACATGGGGCCTGCAGAGATGAGAGGCAGGAGGGGCCAGAGACCTCTCTGACAGGCCAGAAAATCCAGATTCCTGGGGATCCTGAAGCAGCTCCTTAACCCTGCGTGCTGCCCGAGCCAGTGCTGAGGGGTTTCTGTCGCTTGCTTTATTCATGGGTAGTGGGACCACTCAGCTTCCAGGCCCAGGCCCTAGGCACCGGAGAGCTGGCCGGTGCCCAGAGGGCCGGACAGGCTTCAGTGGTGCCAGGGCTGGGCCGGCACGAGGTGGGGAGGGCTGAACTGAGGCTAGCCTGAGGCCCCAAGCGTGCATGTGGTCTGTCCCTCCACTAACCGCCCCAGGGGGAAGGTGCAGATACCACTCAGTCTGCCTGCTCCCAGCCACACTCTCCTTGAACAGCCCTGCACTGTGTTCATCACCTCTTCTGATATTAACCCCCAGAGAGAGACTATGTTTCCAGAGGAAGGAGCTGGCACATGGAGAAGGCAATCACCACACCTCATTCAGTCAAGCCTGACTGTGCTGTGCTGACAGATGGGCACTGAATCTCCCTGCTGAAAGCCAGAGGTCCCTGTTCACCACTGGTCAGCGGCTCTGCTCTGCCCGTCTTCCTCCATCCAGGGCCAACAAAACAGGCGCCACTGGAATGCTGCTGCTGGTCGCTGCGGGTGCAGGGCAGAAAGGTGGACGAAGCCCGCTGGGTCTTCCCAGTTCCCTTTTACTGCCCAGAGCAGCTGGGGCCTACAGTCCTGCCACGACGTAGGGGGAGAGATGAAGGGCCGAGCACAGTGGACAGGCCTTCCAGTGGGCGGCTGGGCGGCAGCAGCAGGGCCAGGAGGGGAGGAACCAGGTAGTCTGGACCCCCACCAACAGCCTAAACAGTTTTCTCTTTGGGACCAAAACCAGCTTCAGAATGCAAGAGCTGAAGCCAGAGTAGCCCTGAGCTTCCTCAGTACCTGCAACCTGCAACCTGCAACCCGCAACCTTCCCAACTCTGGACTTCCCGCCATCCCCGGAGCCCCTCTGGAGCCTCTCCCGCAATCCCGCCCAAACGGAGCTCCCCACACCAGTCTCCTGCCAGACCACCCTATGTGTCGAGGCTTTTCACCGCAGAGGCATCAGTAAACGCTGAGTACATGCCCACCAAGCACTGCATTTATTTGTAACAAATTATAAAAATCATAAAGCACACATAAATTAAAACATCTTAAAAAGATGATCTAGGGACTTCCCAGGTAGTCCAGTCGTTAAGACTGCGCACTCCCAGTGCAGTGGGCCTAGCTTCGATCTTTGGTCAGGGAAATAGATCCTGCATGCCGCAAATAAGAGCCTGAAAGCCGCAACTAAAGATCTCCCGTGCAGAAACTAAAAGATTCCCCACGAGGCAACTAAGATCCCGTGTGCTGCAACTAAGACATGGCGCAGCCAAATAAGTAAATAAATAAATAGTAAAAAAGAAAAAGATGATCCCAAAACTAGAAATAAGCTTGCCGACGCATCACAAGGGAAAACCTCCAGTATCCTGAGGGCTACTCTTAGCAAAAGCAACACTCCGAAAATGCCAGCCTGACTTCCGCTCCTGAACCTTCGCTCCCACAAGCCACCAGCCAGTCCAGGGGCCACCTCACCTGAGCGCAGGCATCCGGAGAGCCACTGCGGCCACTTCCCACGAACGTTACCCATGTCAGGGCCTATGCTCTACCCTCTTCTCACAGCACCATAACCAGAGAAAACACCCACTAGTCTCAACTAAGCTCCTAACCCAAAACTCTTGAACGGTCACCGGCTCCGGCTCTCCCTGGGTCAGGCGCCCCGCCCCTTGCGGCGCCCCGCCCCTTGCGGCGCCCCGCCCAGATCGG